ACAGTATTCATAAAAATGTTATTCCTATAGCATTTCAGGAAAATGAAAGAGGTGTGACTTTCTAGTAGTCTGTATACTAGAAATTCGTAACAGAGATAGTTATGCATTTCCATAACCATGCATCTAAACTTGCCTTTGCTTTCATTATCAGAAGTACTCTGCTGATTTTTCTCATCTGTACGACATTAAAAATAGTTATGATTAATTAGCAACTGCAGCTTACGAAGTCTTCTGTCTTAAACTACACACACCATTAAAAAATGTATCCATGAGAATATGTTGCATGCACAACTTACATAATGGCACTGCTTGCACAGTGTTAAAGGACAGAATAAAAGAAACATAAAATACCCTCTACTATCCCTGAATAAAAAATGATGATGAGTAAAAAATGATAAAATTAGATCTAAAGATATTCTGCATTGTTCAAAGAAATTAGAAAGAAGTTTTTTTTTAAACAACAGCTTAGGTATGATTAGGATTCAACTCTGAGTTTCAAATTAAAATAGTAAATACTGGATAAAAGAAGTATATAAAAGTATTTACTGATTATATAATATTTTAAGTTTTATCATTTCAGAAAAATTCTGACAAAGAAAGTGGCAAAATTATGATATTTAAGTATAATAGGGACTTAAAAAAACAAAATGAAGTTCTCTCCATAACCATGGAGAAGGAGGACTCTTAAGGAAGAAATTATAATGATCAATAAACATTAAAGTAATATTGAACTGAGATGAAAAAAAGGTACCTACAGTTAATTTTAATTATTTTAGAGGGAAAATTTTATGTATAAAATTATGATAGTCTCTAAAAGTTTTAATAATTAAAACTTGGAGTTTATATTCTACCCTACATTCACTTGTAATTTGCCTCCCCAAAATCAAAATTCTTCAAAGAGAGGTGAAGACTTCAATGTACCTCTGCTCAGTGTAAACACAAGGTAAAATGTAGCATTTCAGTAGGTACTCAATTGACATTTTTGAATAAATAAATGAACTGAATGTAAAGCTGGGGTAAAAGATAAGTGCAAATCATGGTCAGAAGCACGGCCTATAATTTTAGTTTGATTAAACATTAGGATAATGTTCAAATGGGTGAATTAAGTATTCAGTTAAATTACCTAGATAGCTTATATAATATCTCTCCATTTAAAATTAGGTAATTTACTTTAAAATTAGTACTGGGAAACAATCTGTTCTTTCTTGTACACTTATGAATTTAGAAATGCAAAGTCAGACTTCTAAAACACCCAGTCATTTAGTTTAGACACACAGACAGACCTGCCTTGACCTCGACTCCCTGCTCCTCTCCCCCCTGCTCTTCCACTTGCCCAGTTTCTTCATTAACTTCTGCTTTTGTAAAAGTAAAAAAAGAAAAAGACCAGATATATATATTTGTTACTCTCAAGTGAAACAAAACATTTCAAATTATTCATGATATATTAGTGATTATTAAAAGACTAAGATTATTTTAAACAAGTTTCTGACATGTTATGTAAGCAAATAAGTATACCTGTAATAAATGATCAATCTCCTTTTATAATCACTTTGATTTGTAAAAGAGAAATTGTGGCCCCTAAAATATTAGCTATGGTGATAACTGTGTAAAAATCTGCCTATTGACTTGAAGCATTCTTATAAAAATAAAACTATATAACTTTTCTTCTAGAGAAAAAATATGAGATTATAAACTCTTTTATTTTTACATAATGCCACTATATCAAAGTTAGGGGAAAGTAAAAATATATTAGTAATGCCTTACAGTTGTTTATTACACTGCACTTTCATTATATTGTTTCTATTTTTTCTGGTTCTCAGACAAAGGGATGATTAATGCTATACCACCATCAAGATGAATATATATATATAGTTTTAAATTAATTTCATTAATAGACGGAAATATAACAACCAAAATAAAAAAGAATTAAATTAAGACTTGCTAATTCTTTAGGTGCTGAACAGGATTACAAAATAAAAATGTCATTACTTTTATTCCAAAAGAATGCAATTAAATGATAACTTCTTATAACTTTTTAGAGAGAATCCAAACATAATTTGATTTAGACTATCAGTTGATACTCTATTTTCAGTTATGTCCCTTTTACTTCAGTTAGGAGTTGAAGATCTAAAGAGATATATATCTCCTTTAAAGCTAACGAAAATCACACAATCATATATCTACTGCTCTTTATATCAACATTTATAAAAACACTGTTAAAACCATTCATACTTTTAAGCAAAATAAACCACACAAAACCCCGTTTATTTGAAATTGGAAAGAATAAGGGAGGTTTTGGCTCTCCTCTCTTATTTATAAAAATGGAAAAGCCACAATCAGGGACATTAAAGGAAAACTGTGGTTTTAAAAAATGATATAGGGCAGAAAACAGATAATAAATAGAATGTTTGCTGAGAAGCCCATTAGAAATTTCCTATGCCCTGATGAGGTAGCTCAGTTGGTTAGGGCATCATTCCAGTACGTCAAGGGGGTGGGTTCGATCCCCAGTCAGGGCACATATAAGAATCAACCAATGAACGCATGGAAGTGGAACAGCAAAGCACTCTTCCCTGTTTATTTCTTTCTTTCCTTCCTTCCTTCCTTCTTTCCTTCCTTCCTTCCTTCCTTCCTTCCTTCCTTCCTTCCTTCCTTCCTTCCTTCCTTCCTTCCTTCCCTCCCTCCCTCTTTCCTTCCTTTCTTCCCTTTTCTTCTTCTCTCTCTAAAATCAATAAATAAATTTAAAAAAATTTTTAAACTTCCTCAATCCTGATTTGCAGTATCGGCTCCATGTCAGTTTTCTGGTATACTGTATTTATTATTAAAAAGAATGCAGCTATTCATATTTTAACATTTGATTGCTATAAAATATATTAAATTTACAAAAAAAAATGTCACATGAACTATGTTTCTGGCTTCATATGTCATCAAATAGCATCAAAATTCTATCTTGGAATGACCAAAATTCTATACATCTTATAGAACTTTCCTTATGGAAGGTACTTTTAAAACGATATACCCCATTCTTATGCAAATAATTGAGAAGTATAGAAATGCTGCTGAAATCTTTTGTCAGGCTGCATAACAGACCATTTAGTCACAAAAGCAGTGAGTTGTTAAAAATTATGGCACAAAGCAAACACAAATAACCACAAAATGAAAGCTGATAAGTCATCCAACTACAACAAGAACAAGTCATATAGGGCAATAAAAGTATTGCTGCCTAAAAGCAATGCAGCTGAGAATTCGTTACAAGCAGGTTATGGAATCTGAATCTGAATATAAGTATGTAGAGAATAACAAGATTATTGTAGTGGTGCGTTATACACTATTTAAAGTAGTTGTTCAGTAAGTTGTTCAGTTTTTATATAAACATTTCATGCATTCATTCAACAAATATTGATTGAGGGACTACAATGTGCCAGGCATTATTCTATGTGCTGGAGATTATTCAGTAAATAAAATCATTAAATCTTTAAAGTTACAAAGTCATTTTCAGAAGTGTATAATTAGCAGAGAAATGTTTTATTGTCCTAGTAAATGCATGACACGTCATATATCATGACTCAGTATATTCTCTTGAGTCATAATGTACTGTGACAATAAACCTGCAGGTATTTAACTTGGCTATACTGTAAAACAGTCTTGCTATAACATGAAAAATGATGGAAGAAATGCAAACCACAAACATTATCTAATTCAACAAAGTCCTCTTCTAGAAAGCCAAATTTAATAATTAAAGATCACCATAAATACAAAATGAAATGAGGATGATAACTACAACTAGACTAGGTGTACATCCTCAATGACATAAACACAGATTGCAATTGATACCTTTGGTTGAAGTCTTGCACAAAACAGAATTCTGCTTAAAAGGCAAATTGAATATTTTAAAAAGAGGAAATTTTATCTTGCCATTTAAAAGAAGTTAAACTCTTTGCAGTCTTTTTTGACTGGATCAAAAAATTTAACTCCTGGTCATCATTTCTACGTAAAATGCCAAATACTTTACCAGAAATCACATAAGATAATTTTACATAAAGGTCTATACAACGGAAGGACATCAATTGCAGTTGGGTTTATTTTTTGCTTACGAAGCCCCCCAGAAAGGCTGTCAGCACAAAACAAACCCTCCTTTATGTACAGACCTTCACAAGGTTCTATCTCCTTGACTCCATTGTCTAGGAAAAACAAAATAAAAACAAAACAAAGAAGGGAACCAAAGCACAGGGGTTAAAAACAACAGAAATTTCCAAAGGTACAGAATGTATCATCAATTAAAGAAAAGTAAAATGGTGACTTAATTTTTTTTTTTTTTTTTTTTTTTTTTTTTTGTACAGAGCATCCAGTTACCATATAAAGGGACCATTTAAAAAATAACAATAAAAATTATTATATTCTATCTTCCCATGCTTTTAGAGGTCCTTTAACCAAGAATTTATAGATGGGGGGGGGGGGTATGTTTACCTGTGTGTGAGCAAGTAATGCCTCTTAGGCAAAAATTTTAAAGTATTAAAAAATACGTATTAAAAATATCAGTACAACATGCATCTTTCTTTGCATATTCATGATTACCTTTTTCTGGTACTCCAGTTTTGAGAAGGATCACCATTGTTGTGCATCAGCTAACCAGTCCTTTGCAGTATGTGAAAATTGATTTGGCTAGTTACTAATAAACTTTATGTAACTATCAACAATTACATAAACTTAGCTGTAGCAAAGCTATATCATCTAACTGCTTGTTAAACAAGAGCATTACATTTACTTCTTAAAATGCATTAATTCAAATTTGTAAAATGTGCCAGAGCAGTAATAGGTTATTTTATCTGCAAGTAGTACACATTTTAAATGAAAAAATACATAATATGTAATTACTAGCAAATGCAGCTAAGGCATTCAATTAACCAAAGAAGAAAACTAAGGAAGGTAGGACAAAAAGAATCTTGATTCACCTTAGCTTCCATGTGCATTTCCTACATGACACAATTAGAAATAAAACTTACTTCTCTCCAGGGTTCCCTTTGGTGGAAGTTGTGGAAGTTGCCGGCCTCTTCGTCCTGCCACTGGAGTGCTTGATGGGCTTGTTTGGACAGACCCAGTACGAGGATGAGACCTACGAAATACACATTAATATTCACTTTCAATATAATGAATTAAATACTTTTAATACATTTGCTTCACATGATAGCTGTATAAATGCAATTTTAAAAGAGGTTTAGCTGCTGATTAAAAGGTTAGGAAAGTAAGACACAATATGGATATTTGAATGATTATCTAAACAGCCAAAGATGTTTAAACTTTTGTGTTATATGCGTACATACACAGATACATGCACGGAGAATCCTACAGTAAAAGCCATGGGGTTATTCATGTAAATTCATACAAAAGTAAGAGGAGAATTCTGCAGCTCAAAAAAAATAAAAGGTAATGTCTGACATTTCTTTCTACCAGATTTCAAACTCTTCACTCTAACCTCTCTCCCTTGATCCAAAGAGCTTTTTACTCAGGCTTATTATAGATAACACTTCATTAGAAAATATCTGATGAAACTACAAATAAAACCCTGCACAATTCAACATTCAGCTAGAGAAGGTAATGGGTCATACATGATATTAGTATTGATAGAAAGAAACTAAAAAATCTAGTTTTGTCACTATGATGACTACTCCAACAGTGATGTCTAATGAAGACAAACAATTTCTCCTTGTGTAGAAGAACATGGTAGTCATGAGGTGCGTCATGTGGGGATTTACCCAGGACTACTGATAAATGAGAAATCACAAAACAAATGCAGTCAGGACAGTTCAACGTTTTACAATGGTAGCCACACACTATTATATCCGCTGAATATAAATAGTGTGCTTACACGGAAAAGGTTAGTATTGATTGTTATTAGTGATCAGCCAAGGATGATAGAAGAGACCAGTTAGCTGCTGGGAAAATAAAATGGTGTGCTGGTGGGGCAAAGGGGAAGTTAGTCTGATGGATTTATCTTTCACCTCGATAAGGCAGGTGAAGGAGGGGCAGATCTTCCGGTCATTAATGAAGGCATCGACCTCATGAGGTTTGTGTCGGGTCGCTCAGTGGATCTGGAGCGGGCGGTGGTCCGCTCTAGGACGGGCCGCTGTTCTGTTGATCTGGATCTGTGATAGGGCTGTCTATCTGCTGCTTCACAATCCCTGAAACGTTAGTCAAAAAGCAGCTCAGTCGATCTTTAGTGCCTTTCTGCTATTTGGTTATGATGCATCAAATTGATTTTGAAAAAAAAAAAAGTAATTGTTTAAAATCACTGCGTATGTAAGAAAAAAAAAATTCTCGTCCCCAACATATTCTGAGCAAATTCTTGCTAAACTTTTAAGATTTCTGAAGGAACCCAAATCTGCCTTAAATAGCAATTCCCAGTGAAGATAAATAGGAGTTGGTCAGTTATGTTCAAAGACAAACAAAACTGCCTGCTTTGCGAAGTGAATTCCCTTTGGAATATGTGAAATATGTAAAGTATTCTACTTTAAAAGAATTCAATAAATTTTTCTAACATTTTCAAAAGAGTGGGGGAAAACCATATAAGCACTATTCTCAGTAAACCCCTAAGGCTGTTTATTACACCAAATAAGATATGAAAATATTTTCAACACAATCACTGTGTACTGATACACCTGAACATTCAAATAGAAGGATCCAGATGTTCTAAGAAAACAGAGCTACTTTGCAGTCTGTAGCCATCTTTAACCACGGTCTATAAGAAAAACCACTGGATAGAAAACTGGTAAATCAGCCAATCTCTGACATCTATCTCAGTGCAATTCAGTGATGCCAACCAATACAATTCAGAATGGGTATGAACTGATTGAAATAATAATGGTTCTGAAACAATGTGATCACTTTGACCACAAATAAATCAACATCAACTCCTGATCCTTGATGAGAGGAATCTACCATTGTTGATTTCTTTTTTTAGCCCTGGAGTCTATCATAATGCTTTTATATCTAATATGTGGCCAATGAATGTTTTCTAATGCAAACCCCATTTTCAGTGAGCCAACCCTAAAAATACTAATGTTGACTCTAGAACTCTAAATAATACATAATCTAAAATACACTGCAAATCAAACTATTACCTCCCCATCTAGTTGTAACCACAGAAATAGTAATGCTTATATATTATAAACTAGAGGCCCGATGCACGAAGATTCGTGCAAGAATGGGCATTTCTTCCCCTGGATGCCCGCACCGCCTTCACTCTGGCCCGGAGCCGCCTTCCCGCTTTCCCACGCTACTCAGAGGCCCTGAGAGGCTGGGACAGTGTGGACCGCCTGCGTCGTAGCCATGGCGACAACGCAAACATCCCGCCCCCGGCCACTCGGTGCCTGCGTATGCAAATTAACCCACCAGCTTTGTTGAGTTAATTTGCATACTCACTCCTGATTGGCTGATGGGCATCACAAAGATACTGTCAATTTGCAACTTTCTCTTTTATTAGTGTAGATGGTAAAGCAAGAATTAGTTTCCCTCATAACTAATGTATCAAGGATGTCCACTTTACCTATAAATTCTCTCAGTCTTATTTTTTGTAAAGAAATGCAAACAATTTAAAATTAAATAAGAAAGGACACAATTTCCCATATGTAATTAACTATATGGCATACAATTTCAGATCAATAGATTAAATGACATTGTAGGAAGTGAATACTGGGTTTATTCTACAATGTATCTTATCATTATCTGTCACTTTTATTCAAGGGTAATATATAAATCAAATAGTTTTTAAATATTTTGAAGTCCATGTACCATAATACGATTTATTTCCTAGATATTTTTATATGTGTATCCAGCAAATGCCAAAAAGCTGAGATTAAATATAAATACATATACAATATTCAATTACTTGTCAAAAAGAGGGAAAAAGGCAACTTGGTAGTTTAAAAACTCATAATTCTATTTTTATTTTTAAAAAATAACTATTTTAGAGAAAACACTTCTTTTAGAAATATGCTCAATAATTTGTTAGATTATTGGTGTACATACTTATGAATATATTTATCACAATAGATAACCAGAATCAAAGGGATATATATTCTTAGATTCCTTAAAAACCTATTTTTAGACAGTATCAATATTTATATTATTTTCACATTTCCTAAGTTAATAATTGAACTATCTCTTATAAAACATATAGTAACAAAACTTAGTGGAATATCTATGCCTACCCAAACAGAAATTCAGGCTATTTAATTTACTTATACAAAATTTGATTTATTCTGATTCTATCAAGCAATTTTTCCAAGTGAAAAGTGAAATGTTAAGATAGACACACCTTCACTTCTTTGACACTATATTTTTAATAACTGGAATATGTCATTGTGAGTGAAATCCAGGGAATCATTTGAATTGTGTTGCTATGTTCTTTGTCCTTTAAATGGTTCTGCTATTTATAAAGCAAATGGGTCACTCCTTAGGAAATATCCCTCAAAAATATATCTTTTTATCGAAAAAGTTGTTTGAAGACTATAATCAGTTTTAAATTTTACTTACATTGTCTCTTCACTTCATAAATAATATAAATTATTTCCATTGTGTGAAATGGAAAATCTGTTAAAAAGTAAAACATGAAAAGAACCACAGATGGAGGCAGAGATTCCTGAAATGCTCCACCACAGTAAGTGGGATGGAAAGCTGCCATATTTTAAATCTGATTACACAACAGAAGGTCAAGGGAACTTCTGCTCCCACGACAGGTCTTACTAGATAAGAACTAAGAGCATCGAAAGCAGCCAAGCCTAAGCCTCATGAAACGCCCAGTCTCATAGCAGGTTTTCCAGGTGATTGAAATTTAAAGCTTGACAACCTACACTTAGTCAATTTTCATTTTAAGATAACATAAATAATTAATTCTGAATACAGAGTAGCAACTGAGATGTGGGAAATAACGGAAAACCATTTACAATGCATAAAACATTTTAGTGCCTATTTGGGTTTCTTAACTTGGGGTCTGTATTTCAAGGTAAGTAATTTCCTTTGCAACCCTACTTGTGTACTTTATTTTACTTTATGCATTTTATTTATTTTCATTTTTATTGATTTTAGAGAGGAAGGGAGAGGGAGAGAGAAACATCAGTGATGAGAGAGAATCATTGACTGACTCTCTCCTGCACGTCCCCTACTAGGGATCGAGCCTGCAACCTGGGCATGTGCCCTTGACCAGAATCGAACTGGGACCTTTCAGTCCACAGGCTGATGCTCTATCCACTGAGCCAAACTGGCGAGGGCTTACTTTATGCATTTTAAAACATTATTCAAAAAAAGGTGGCCATAGGTTTTACAAGATTGCCAAAGGTTTAGAACCACTCACATAAAAATTTAAATCTTTCTTAGGTAAATAATTGGTTGTCTTTCAGAAAGTGATTTAATATATGTCATGGTTCTATCTTTAAAAAAATTGGTTATATTTTCTAATATATGTTTTAAATAGTTCACTTTTTATACATGTCATTTACCTGGATAGATTGCTGCTCTGCCCTATGTAGCGGCTGCTATTCCAAAATGCAAGCATTTGGAGAGGACACAGTTGAATAGCCCTCTGCACACAGAGCTAACTCACATTGACTGGCAGCATTGTAACAGGAGCCAGTAATTGTTACACCAGCTTTGACAGCACATACTGGCACACGATGCTATTGAGATCAGGATTTCTGAAGAAAAAATAATTTTATAATCACCCAGTGAAACTGCCATTTTCAGTCATTTTTCCTCTCAGTATAGTTGCTCTTAAAAGATTTAAAAAAAAAAAAAAAATTCCAGGTATCTGCCACAGCTTCCTGCTTATTTCACCAGTGTTGCTACTTATTTATCCTATTTTAAATCAAGTACAAGGAATTTATGCAGTATAGCAGGAAGAATAGGCCACAGAACATTCTTTCCGTAACCACTAATATCAACCATCACAATGATACAACTCCAAATCAACATAAGCTCAATGCAGGGTATCTCTCTCGATATGACAGAATACGAACACTACTCAAAAATTTAAAACAACCAGCACAATGCAAAGTTTCAAAGTAATAACTCAGATATGTCAGTGAAAATTGTCCTAAAATATAACTCAGACCCTGCAGTCTATGCTTAAATCAGTCGTATTTCATGTTTATATTGTAAAGATGCCCTAGTAAACCTAACAGGATTTCTTTAAAAATAAATCTTGTAAAAAAGTAAAGCTGTTTGCCCTAGCTGGTTTGGCTCAGTGGGTAGAGCATCGGCCTCTGGACTAAAGGGTCCCAGGTTCGATTCCAGCAGAGGACACATGCCTAGGTTGTGGGCTCGATTCCCCCCATCCCCCAGTAGGGGGTGGGCAGGAGGCAGCCAATCAATGATTCTCTCTCATCATTGATGTTTCTATCTCTCTATCCCTCTCCCTTCCTCTCTGAAATCAATAAAAATATATTTTTTTTAAAAAAGTAAAGCTGTTTAGGAATTAGTTTTTATTTCTATAAAGAAATTATTTCTGCCAGAACTGGTTTGGCTCAATGGATAGAGCGTCAGCCTGCAGACTCAAGGGTCCCAGGTTCGATTCCAGTCAAGGGCATGTACCTTGGTTGCGGGCACATCCCCAGTGGGGAGCGTGCAGGAGGCAGCTGATTGATGTTTCTCTCTCATTGATGTTTCTAACTCTCTATCCCTCTCTCTTCCTCTCTGTAAAAAATCAATAAAATATATTTTTTAAAAAGAAATTATTTCTTTCCAAAGCTGAAATATTTAAAAGATTATGTCTCTCTGGGGGCAAGGAGTATAATCTCAGGCTTGGTGTAAGAAATGCCTCCCTATACCCACACTGTGTAATACAGTAAACTGATTCACACAACAGAAGCATTATACCTTCGATAAAATAGCTTAAATGTCTAGAGATTTTCTGAACATGAGCTGCATAGTATAAGAAATAAATACATAATAAAATTTTTAAATGAAAAAAAATTTAAATGAGACATTTTAGGGTAATTAATGTAACATATATAGGTATAATGTTTTAAAGTAATTTAAAGTAATTTAAATTAATTACTTTAAATAATTTAAAGTAATCATATGGCTCAACTATATAATTTTCATGTTCATCATAATGTAAGAGGTAAAAGTTTAACTTTTAAAAAAACTCTAGTTTATATTAGTTTAGCATTGCTTTCAAAGTTAA